TGTCAATTGATAAAAACTTGATTTGATAAACCCGAACACTAACACCCCCTACTTATGAGAACGAAAAAGAAAAACGCAAGATAATTATGAAATCTACTAACATACTATTCGTTACATATGAAAATTAGTCACATTCATCTGAAATAGAGATATGACCTTGAGTTATTTCATAAACAATTACGAAGAAAAAAAAAGGAAAAACATTTAAATTTTTATTCCGTGTTTATACAGGGCTTGGATCTTGAATCTATTCGTTATATGAGCCCACCAGATCAATCATCAACATCAGTTATTCAAGAATGTTTACGTCTTCAATTAGGACAATTACGTGTTGGTAAAAATATGTATAAATATCCATCATCATCATCATCATCATCATTAGTTTCTCCAACAAAAAAATTTTATCTTGTTTCAAAACAATTTACATCACCAACAAATATAATTCCATTAATTTATGAAAAAAAAGTTATGCTTGAATGTTTATATACAAAAGAATCAATAGCATATGGTACTATACGTGTTCATAATTTTATTTATGATAAACTTGTATTTGTACGTATAACACAAAATGAATGGAAAACATTTAAAGATATTCCAGCATCTCATTCAATTAATTATCCATTTGATAATACAGATGCATTTACATTTCAAATAACTTCAACAAAATCAAATGATGATACAACAGAACCAAAACGAATTTTATTTGCTATTTGTTTACAAGCTATGTCACAAAATTTTTGGGATAATAATCAAGAACGAAATTATGTATTAGACATATTTGAAAGGTAATTATAAAAATAATATGAAAAATTTCAATAATTAGAATTTTAAAAGAGATAACATTTGAAAGATATTTTTTTTTTTTCGAAGAAAGTTTCATGTATTTTAAAAGCTGAAAGTTATTAAACTATGTTGTTGTTATATGAAAAATTATTGAGCTTTAATTTAATTAGAATTTGTCTATTGAATCAATAGGTAAATTCCTATGACAAAAAAAGAAAAAATCTTTATTTGAACGCGTTTTTTCCTATTGTCTTTTCTCTATTCGATCTTTTGTGAGATCTTTAAATAGAGAAAAAAAAAAGGCTTTTGAAAGGAAAATATGAATATGAGCAATTCGAATAATTGCCATTATGATTAGAGTATAGGTGTACACGGAATTAAGTAATTCAAAAATGATTCTAGAACAGAAACTCAGATAGTATATCCTCTTGTTATCTTGTTTCAATTCATCACATTTTAGGATCCACAAAAGGCTGATGTATTCTTACTGATATACATTGACATACATCTTAATATTTTTAACTAGTCTCTTGAATTATTCGAAGGTCAAATAGATGCAATATCGTACCCATTTAACCCTGTACAATCTAAGAGAGAAACTAACAGTAAATATGTTTATTATGTTAATTTATACGTAATAAAAATTGCGTCCATCTATACTCTATTACGTTTTATATTGAGTGCATAACAGACAAAATTAGAAGTTCCATATATAGTAATCGAAATTTTCCAAAAATGATAGACCTCTAAGACTATTTAGAGGTCGAAATTCTCTTTTTTTTTACATTCAACCAAAACAATGGACAGAAACGTGCAGAATTTCGTGTTCTATCTTTTGTCTCCTATCGAAAGTGAAATCTAACAAAATGGTAGATTTACTACTTTTTTTTTCTCCTGACAAATCTAAATTTCTCTTAGATAAAACTGGATACTTCTGAGAAATATTTGCATGTATCACCTATCATTATGAGCATCATCTATGAGATAGATAATGTTGAAGATTGTAAAAGAAAAATTAAAGATTTAACCAA